GGCTCAATACCAGGCCTACCCAGAGGGTATTCCATAGCCTTGAGCCATGGCAGTTTTAAATAGTGCCAAACTGCATTAATTCTACAGTGCAGACACCCTATAATGCAGGCATGGGCAAACTCTGGTCTTCAGGAGTTTTGGACTTCAACTCCCACAATTCCTAACAGCCTGTTAGGCCGTTAGGAATTGTGGGAGTTGAAGTCCAAAACGTTGAGCCAGGCCAGTCAAAAGGTGTCACATTGGTATAATATTGCAGAGGGGTTGCCACTCATTCTCAGTCTTCCATGGTTTAACATGACGCTGCCCTGCCCAATCCCAAACCACCATTCTCTGCTTGGACCCGCCTTCGCCGCACCCGCCAGCCAATAAGAAGGGTCGTATCCAATCAGCACCGAGGCGCTTTGGCGGCCATTTTAGAGGCTGGGGAGGGCTGGACGTGGGCGGAGGGTTGAGGGCCTTGTTCTTGTCGTCGCGAATATTTTCGAGGCCGCTGTGGGGAAGGAGGTTGTTTCTATCCCCAGGCTTTTCATTTCGCCGCTTATGGCGCCTGTTTTGTGCTTATAAAATTGCTGCTCAAGGTGTTCCCCTAAAGGAAAAAAAAAGCCAATGGGATTTTGGCCTGCATCAATAGGAGCATAGTGTCTAGGTCCAGGGAAGTAATGCTACCCCTCTATTCTGCTTTGGTTAGACCACACCTGGAATATTTTGTCCAATTCTGGGCACCACAATTCAAGAGAGATATTGACAAGCTGGAATGTGTCCAGAGGAGGGCGACTCAAATGATCAAGGGTCTGGAGAACAAGCCCTATGAGGAGCGGCTTAAGGAGCTGGGCATGTTTAGCCTGAAGAAGAGAAGGCTGAGAGGGGATATGATAGCCATGTATAAATACGTGAGAAGAAGCCACAGGGAGGAGGAAGCAAGCTTGTTTTCTGCTTCCCTGGAGACTAGGACGCAAAGGAACAATGGCTTCAAAGTACAAGAGAGGAGATTCCATGAAAACATCAAATCATCCGGGCATCCCCTGGGCAACATCCTTGCAGATGGCCAATTCTCTCACACCAGAAACGACTTGCTCCTGACACGACAAAAAAAAATCCAGTGGTTTTTGAGTTATGTTAATCTCACAAACGAACATTACATTTTTATTTATATAGATTTACGATATTTCCATCCCGCCTTTCTTAAGCCCGAAGGCAACTCAAGGCAGCTCACAAATTGGCAGCAACGTTGGCCCTCCAGGTGTTTTGGACTTCAACTCCCACAATTCCTAACAGCCTGTTAGGCTGTTAGGAATTGTGGGAGTTGAAGTCCAAAACATTGAGCCAGGCCGGTCAAAAGGTGTCACATTGGTATAATATTGCAAAATAAAATACTTATTATTTTATATACTAATGTGCCTTCCTCTACATCAGGCATGGGTGAACCTTGGCCCTCCAGGTGTTTTGGACTTTAACTCCCACAATTCCTAACTCCTTTCGAGCTATGACCACCCCATGAATTTCATAGTGGCTTCTCAAGCTCTTATTTCTTTTCTCTGAAATGTTGCTACGATAAAAGGTTTCTGAATGCCACCCATTTACAAAAATCTGTTGGCAACAAAATGCAGCGTTTAGTTACAGTGGTCTCTGCAGAAGATGCTTCAGCTGTACCCCTTAAAAAGAGAAATTGGCCTGTTTAGCAAGCCTTGAAAATGCTGATTTATTATCAGTAAATGTTGGATCTTTATACCTATTGTTTTATATACTTACATACTTATATTTTATATACTCTATATCAGGCATGGGCAAACTTTGGCCCTTCAGGTGTTTGGGACTTCCAACTCCTACAACTTCTACTGGCTGTTAGGAATTGTAGGACTTGAAGCCCAAAACACCTGGAGGGCTAATTTGCCCATGCCTAATCTATATCATGTATAAATAATTTCTTGGATGCAAAAGGGTCGCAATTTTTTTTTCAGGTAGAAAGAGGTCATGAATGGAAAAAGTTTAAGCCCAGTGGTAACTGACATTTAGAATGAGGCTCTTCTCCCTTAATGGGAGGATAATTAGAATGGTGGTTTTGTGCAGTTTCGGTACAGAACACAATAAGACTATGAGGATACAGAAAGTACTTTTTAGTTGTAAGGCACTAACACTTGAGAGTTTCGTAATGCCCTTTCTAGCCAAATTGCGTTATAAATAGCCTTTAAGATTGTGTGATGTTGTTCATTCATTCAGTCGCTTCTGACTCTTCGTGACCTCATGGACCAGCACACGCCAGAGCTCCCTGTTGGCCATCACCACCCCCAGCTCCTTCAAGGTCAAGCCAGTCACTTCAAGGATGCCATCCATCCATCTTGCCCTTGGTCGAACCCTCTTCCCTTTTCCTTCCATTTTCCACAGCGTATGTAGAATACCATAATTCTTCAGTCTTTAAAGTGACGGAATAATAGACTGATTCTGGACTACGATTTTGAACTTGCGTGATTTTATCTGCTGTTTTAACAATTTATGTTTTATTGCTGGTTTTAATTGTAATTGTTTTCAGATTCTGTTTGGTTTGTTGGGCATTGAATCGTTGCCAGTTGTGCGGCTTTCCTGAGTCCCCTTCGGAGTGAAAAGGGTAGGGTACAAGTATGGGAAATAAATAAATATACATGCAGTTATAGTTACATGGTATCCCTTTTATGAAATGCCAAAATTGTTTTAAATTTTGCTTCTATAGGTTTCTTTTCCTTTGGAATATTTTCAAGCAATGGATGCATGGTTGTGGGCACCATGGTGTCCCGGTTGTTAGCCGCCCTGAGTCCCTCTGTGAAGATCGAGATAGGACAGGATACAAATGTCCGAAATAAATAAATAATACAGAATACATGGTTATGGAGGGCCAACTGTGTTTAATCTCTCTCCCACTATCTAATCCTCAAGATTGGATTTCTCAACCAGAGATCCATGGACTCTTTGGGAGTCTGTGGAAAGATTTCAGGGGTCTGTGAGTTTAAATTGAAAATAATCACTTTATTATCTTTGTAAAATGTAATTTTGACAATCCTAAAATGTAATTTAAGGATATTGACATTGTATGCCATAAAATTATCTGCCATTATTCTCAGAGGGGTCTGTGGTTTTCACCTGACTGGCAAATCTTAGGGTCTGTGGAACAGAAAAGGTTAAGAACCCCTGTCCTAGATAAAAAAAAAAACTTTAATAAGCTCTTTTTAGGTCTGTAGCATCAGGAAGTCATTTTTTTCTAATTCGTGCTTTGGAAATTACAAAGTATTAACATTGATGTTAACATTTAAATCATGGTGATGAGACCTAAATCTTAAAACATTCCAAAATTTTCAAAATGCTGCTATCTGATTTATTCATGAAATATCTGCAATTAAATCAGAGTACTCTCATTACATGTAAATGATAAATGGGGTGTCAGATGTCACAGCCAGATCGCCCTCACATCCACATGTAAATAAGGCATACTGGTAGCCTGTAATATGGGATTTTAAATTATCCATCAATTTATGGTGGCTCCATGAATTGTGCAGAGTTTTCTTAGGTAAAGAATACAGGGTTAGTCAAAATGAATAGGCCAATAAGAAAATTAATTTTAGACGAATGTATGTTTACTGTAACCAAACCACAGCTACGTAGCGACAGATAAACTATCAAAGTTTTTTTTGAGCAACACACATGTACGTTAATGCCGCTAGGCGTCGCTAGGGGTCGCTGTTTTCAAAATGGCGGAATCAAGCAAAGAGAAGGCGTTTTGTGTGATGACATTTGCTAAAACAATGTCAGTAATTACGGTCCAGCGAGAATTTCAAGGGTTAGGGATAGGGATAGGGTTAGGGTTAGGGATAGGGTTAGGGTTAGGGATAGGGTTAGGGTTAGGTTTAGGGTTAGGGTTAGGGTTAGGACCTCAACGAACACCTTCCCAGACGTTGCTGCATTCGATGCCATTACGTCGGATGTGCTGCAACGGATGTGGAATGAACTGGACTATCGCTTGGACATCTGCTGTGTCACACGGGGCGCCCATATCGAACATCTCTGAAGGTGAGACAAAACTTTGATAGTTTATCTGTCGCTACGTAGCTGTAGTTTGGTTACAGTAAACATACATTCGTCTAAAATTAATTTTCTTATTGGCCTATTCATTTTGACTAACCCTGTATTTCAGAAGAAAAGCGTGCACCATGTGGTATTCATTGGTAGTCTCTCATCCAAGTAGAAAACAGGACTGACCTGTCTTAGTTTCCAATTAAGATGTGATGCCTTTGAGCCTTTATAGATTGATCACTTTATGGATTGAAAAAAAGGAAAAATACAGCTCAAGATATTTATTGATAACTGACATTTTTAAAAAGCCTAAATCCCACTTGTGTGCGTATACCTTTAAATCACTTGTTGACTTAGGATGACCCCATGGATTTCATAGTTCCATATAATTAATCCTTTGAACAATAATCATGTATAAATAGCACAAATGGGTATGCTGAAATCCTAGAAAAGCAATGAACTGCTGTAATCTTCTTAGATTGGATTATGTGGCTTGATGCATTGACCAAATTATTTTTCATCTTTGAAATAATTCTGTGGCTTGTTGTGAATATGGACTAAGGGTTAAATAAATACTTATTGAACGAGTGCAGAGAACATGCAGTGTCGTGCTAAAATACTCTTTAATCTGGATTGTGCCAAAATGAGCTCATTAGAGTTTAGAACTGATAAAAAAATAGGCGTTTGTACAGTCTTGCATCTGAAATGCTGAATCCTGAGGGCATGCTAGTACAAACTGCAGTGACTATAGTATTTATCCATAACAGAAAACCTTTTAATCTGCTATATCCTTGTTTTGTCTGAATGCTAATTGGTATTAAATTCTGACCAGTTGTATCTCAGCATGTTTCCGGGATCTTGGTTTATCCCGGAAACATGCTGAGATAAAACTGGTTTATCTTTATTGCTATTTTGTAGTCAAGTAAACTGTTATCTCAGTGACACAATAATGAATAAATAATGAATAAATAATGTTTGCTTATTTATCTGTATCCTGCCTTTTGGAACTCAGAATTTCTCCCAAAGCATCTTACAACATTTGAAAACTATACAGAATCAAAAGACAAATAGCAACTGAAGGAATTGATAGAACCACCTGTATAAATGTCATTAGTGATGGGACCAATTGAATTTTTGTTCTGAAGGTATTTCAGAGGGCAGGTTTCCACAACCAAGGACGTTTTTTTTTTTAACAATATCTCCATAAATCACATTTCTGCCCATGGCTGTATGAGGAGAACATCTTGTGGTGGAGGCAATGAAACTGTAGGTTCATATGGTGGGAGGTACATCCTTAAATATCCTCATCCCATGATTTTTTTATTTTTTTTTTGGCTTTTGTAGGTAAAATCCAGTGCCTTCATTTGTGTCCAGAATCCAACGAAGTTCAAATAAACAGGAGTAGAAAATGTATGTGTGTAGTGGGGGAGAGATGGAGAAGATGGAAGGAGAGCTTTCTTGCTCCACTGTACACCATTCTTTCCTGCAAATACTGTCCATGCCCCCCCCCCTTTCCTCATGAGTTTTTTCCTGGGTTTTGATTCAGGCAAAGAAAAGCAATGATACAATCTAGTAAGAAGTATTTATATGGGAGAATAATAAACACCATTTTCCTGCTGGTTGTATCCTGGAAATACTTCTTCCACAATTTCCACAACTCTAGTTCTCCTATAAGCAATATGAGAGAGTAACACAGGGCTAAAATGTGATGGGCATACTGTAGATTAGCAAGAAAAATTTGCATGGAGCTGTGTGTTTATCTATAGACAGTCAGTGCTTGGTTGCCATGCAAGATCTTATGGTGTACATGTGAGAGCATATGATGTCAATTTGAGTATTCAGAAATTATCCGCAAAGGCTGAAGTTGAGCAATACATGCAGGTCATTTGATCTTTTCCATGGAAGTGATTTTGCATTTCCCAAACTGAATGCAAAAATGCAGTGGTAGTACTTCAGCTTTGAGCTTCTGCAATTTATTTATTTTTGCATGTCTGATGGTACAACTGTTCCAATAAAAACCAAATATGTGTATCAGCTGTTACGGGTAATATTTATCTGGAAACATTTGGACAACGTGCTACATAAAATATATTTTGCTGTTTTTGCACAGTCCCCAACTCCACATTTTTATTCTGAAAAACTTGATAAAAAGTCAATAATAAAAAAGACTTAATAAAAACAGCTGAGAGGATGGTCTTTTTTAAAAGGTGCAAAATGTCTTGTCCTAAATATCTTAAAGACAACAGGTCCTGTCTAATCTTTTAAACTAGCCAGGGTCAGTCATGGTGAGTACTTGGATGGGAGACTGCTAATGAGTACCAGGTGTTGTGGTTTGTATTTCAGAGAAATGATCTGTCAGCAACACCTATGAATATTCCTTGCCTAAGAAAACTCAATGAAATATATCCAGGGGTAGCATAAGCCAAAGGTGACTTGAAGACACACAATGCCTTACCAGTCTAGATCTCTTGTGTGTTTAATATTGTTCATAAAAACTGAGCCCTTTTATATGGTTTAAATAAGGTTTGTCTCTGCATATTTGTTATTGAAAGTTGATCAAATTTGTTTCCAACTAAATATGCACATGTTGACTCTATAATAATGCCTAAATCCATTTGCTTATCATGTGTTCAAATTAGTCCCATTGCATCAAATATTTAATGGTTAACTGACTGAATTCAACAAGAAACCAAGTTTGAATTTCTTGCTTTATTTGGGCCTAAGGTTGTTAGACCCTCGTACTCCACATAGAATCTTACTGTAACTATTGTTGAGTAAGGCCAATTGAAATCTCAGGGAGTATGTTGTGTTGAGGTGAGCTTAAAACACACTGAAACAAAGGGACTATCATCTAAGGAAACAGTATTTAGGTAATAGCAGCTTTCTGAACTGTGTGTTGCGACACATTAGTGTGTCGATTGCAGTATGTAGATGTGTCACACAAACATAAGGAGAAACCTCTGAGCCTGTTTGAAAGAAGTAATACATTATATTTTAAAACATATAAATGAAAGGTTTTTATGAGATATGTTTTGTCCCTACACACTTTGCTTTTACAATTGATGATGTGTTTGTATCTCTTATAAGGGGTTGGTTTGATCACCTTGCTAGAATTATTGTGTCACATAATAATATATGTCTTCAAAGTGTATCACCATCACAAAATGTTTGGACAGCTGTGTATTAGACTAATAACATGGGAGAGCAAAAATGGAACTGCAAGGGAGAGGAATATATTATTGCCTAAGACATAAAATATAAATTGGTAAAAAGCATTTATTACAGAGTTGAAAAGAGGGCAGTTACAAGAGGTGTTCATTAAAGATTTCCCCTAACCCACTTCTATTTTTACAGGACACTGAAACTGCACATGTAATGATATGAGTCTCTATAGGTTACATGCCAATTTACAACTCAGAACTGATAACGTTCTTGATTTTACAGGTGCTGAAGTAGTAAAAGGTAAAGGTAAAGGTAGTCCCCTGACATTAAGTCCAGTCATGTCTGACTCTGGGGTGTGGTGCTCATCTCCATTTCTAAGCCCAAGAGCCAGCGTTGTCCGTAGACACCTCCAAGGTCATGTGGCCGACATGACTGCATGGAGCGCCGTTACCTTCCCACCGGAGCGGTACCTATTGATCTACTCATATTTGCATGTTTTCGAACTGCTAGGTTGGCAGGAGCTAGGGCTAACAGTGGAAGCTCACGCCGCTCCCCGGAATCGAACCTGCGACCTTTCGATCAACAAGCTCAGCAGCTCAGTGCTTTAACCCACTGCTGAAGTAGTATGAGGTTTGATAATGGACCCAGTGGAATACACGGCAGTAATCAAGTTCCTTTACTTGAAAGGCCACACACCAATGGAGACATTCGATGAGATGAAAGAGGTTTATGGTGATGATTCCCCATCATATGATGCTGTCAAGAACTGGCATAATCAATTCAAGTGTGGTCGGACTTCAATGTAAAACAGCTCCAATTCCAGGGCGATCCCACTCTGCTATTGAGAAACGTACCATCCAGCAAGTGGAGGTCGCCATATTGGTTCAAAATATCAAGATTAGTGTGGGAACATGGGAAAAAATCGTTTAAGATCATCTTCATATGCATAAGGTATCTGCTTGCTTGGTCCCCCAACTGCTCACTCCTTTCCAGAAGGAGGAATGAGTTGAATGCTCTCAGACTCTATTGATAATGTGCCATGGAACCAGGAAGATTTTTTCAACAGACCGATAACACAGGATGAAAGCTGGGTCCATCTCTATGATCCTGAGACTAAAGCCCAGTCGATACAATGGAAGCATCATGACTCACTACCTCCAAAGAAGGCACATGCCTAACTCTCGGCAGGCAAGATCATGCTTACCGTATTTTGGGACCAGCACGGAGTAGTGTTGATGGATTTCCTAGCAAAGGGTACCATGATCACTGGGGCATACTATGTTTCACTGCTGCAGAAATTGCGAGAGGCCATCAAAACCAAGAGATGTGGCATGCTCACCAAAGGTGTCCGCCTTCTGCAAAACAGTGCACCAGTTTATAACTCACAGGTTGCCCAAATGGAAGCATGCTCCTTGGCTTTAAAATTGTACCATGTCCCCCTTATTCACCCGAACTGGCACCATCGGACTTCCACCTCTTTCCAACAATTTAAGTTATTTTTGAAAGGCAGGCAGTTTTCAGATGATGAAACTCTGATTTCCAAAGTCACAACATGGCTTTTGGAGCAACCTGTTGACCTCTATAAGTGAAGTGTTTACAGTTGTTTAAAAAGATAGGAGAAGTGTGTGTCCCTAAGTGGCACCTATGTAGAGAAGGACTAATAACTGCTCCAAGTTTCATTGCTCTCAATCCTCAGGAAGTGTGTCAGGGGAAATCTGTGATGAACATAGTACTTGTGCAACTTTATGAAGTTAAAAGATCCCTAAAAATAGAGAGACTTTGCATCAAGAAAGAGATTCCTTGATTTTTTGATGGATTTTAAAATGAGAGATACAAGCACATACATCAATTGTATATTTGACAAAAATAAGCCTTAGCTGTTTTAAGTGAATTACTGCAAAAAAAAAAAAAAACCCTTGTGTTGGGGAAGATTGTTTTATATATACCCTGTTTCTTATTTATTTGAAGGCTATTCACATGGATCTTTGCTCTTGTTTAACTAAGCAAGCTTTGAGTCTCCCAGTTCAAATTGTACAAAGAAGTCTCGATGAATTGATCAAAGTAACAGCAAATGGATAGGTCACTATCTAACAAGAGTTATTTGTGTTTAGGTCCATTGATTTTATTGCTGGATTGTGGCCATGGGTGTAGTAAAGTGCAAAGTCTCTTTCATCTCACAAAGAGCTATTTTGAGTATGATATGCATATCGAAATGTTTTAACCTTCAGAGCATCTGCAGAAAGTTAAACTGTAAAATATATGAAAAATTAGGATATTAAGGACGACTGGGACTCTTGAAATTTCATGGAGGAAACATGATATGGGTAGGGTGGGCTTTGAATGAGAGTTTCGGTTGTCAAACTTTTTGTGATCCCAACATTGAGCTAAGAGTCAATTTGGGGTCAGAACCTACAGTCTTAGAAGCATTACTCTAGCACATAGTCCCCATGGGAAGATAGGGCAGGATAGTTATTATTATTTCAAGTTTTGCCAGAGAAGGGAGAGTACCATCCGATTCTCAGTGATTTGAGTTGAATTGGCAGTATTTCCCTCTCCAAATGAACCATCCTTGCTCAGTGGAAAGGGTACAACTGTGACTAACAGGCCACATTTTAATCTAGACAGTTGGACAGGTGCGTTTGCAAACTAATCCTCAATGTGCATTCATCCTATTATGCAGGGGGCAGCATTCCTTCTGAAGTATCAGATATGTGGTTGGGAAGTGCTGAACTCTTGGATGCTCAGGTTGCAGCTATGTGTCACATGGTTCTTTTTGTATGGGTGACTATCCCCTGAGAAAACTGATTTGGTCACTGTCATATGTGCTGTGGTCATGTCCAGTTAAACTGTTGCTAACTAACCATTGAAAATTGCAGTTGATAAAGAATGCAGCTGTCAGATTGTTATTCAGGACTGTATTACTTACTATATAATCTGATAGCATTCGATAGAGAGAGGTTTCTTTTCGGGGAGGTGTAGTTAAAATGCAACTTGATTTAGAAGTTTACAACCATTACTGCTTTAACTAAGTAATGTGGTCATTGAACACAGCAAAATTACTTTCTAACTGCACATAGGAAGATTAGATTGTAAATCAATAAATCATCAGTTTGAGTGATAAACACAGCAATCCTAAGAATGTTTGTAATTGGCATGCTGTTGTTCAGTTTAAGATTTAACATTTAATATTTATATTCTACTTTTCAGTATCCTAGATAAAGGTAAAAGTTTTCCCCTGACATTAAGTCCAGTCATATCCGACTCTGGGGGTTGGTGCTCATCTCCATTTCTAAGAGATGGCATTGTCCGTAGACACCTCCAAGGCCATGTGGTCAGCATGACTGCATGGAGCGCCATTACCTACTTTGTATCCTACTTTGTATGATTTATATCCTGTCTTTAAATCACATTGACAAGGTATTGTGTGATCAAATTAAATAAAACAAAATAGAAAACAGATTAAAGCAACTAATCTGTATGATAAAGCAAATGGCAAATTAAATTTTTTTAAAAACAGAATAAGAAATTAGTCATAATAAAAACAAGCAACAAAAGTTTATAAGCCTGGAAAATAGAAAGGATTTTGTCTTGTGCTGTAGAACTTCTGAGTGGATGCAGGTCCCTTCCCACAAGGACCACCTGCCATAGCTCAGATGACAAGAATGCTTGAGAACAAATATTTCACAGTACAGGAGGCACGTGTGAAGGAAAGAGATCCTTTAAGTACTCAGGACTGAGGTTGGCAGGTCAGTTGCATGTCATTCCTTGAGTTTTCAAGGCCAAAACCCGAGGATGGGTTTTTGTGATATCACACAACCAGATCAAACAAAGTTTGGGAGGTAGAGTAGAACTGCTTTGAGGTCAGCTCAGTTTAGAAATAGGGATGACGATAGCCTACAAATGGGTGCAGAAGCTAAGTAGAACTATGCTAACTAGGTGATATGATAACTTACAAGCTAAAGCAACATAAAAACATTTTCGTAAGTGGCAACATGTACCTACTAATTTCATAGAGTTGCTGTATTCCTGTCCCATCACATGTGGCCTTACCTACAGTACACAGGACACATCATCTTGTATGAGCTCTGGCAGCAGCAAAAGACCTGGAAGAAAAGGCTCCTCAAAGTTGTGAAGACTGTTGGTGACCTCAGCCCTACACTATCGCTGAGGTCACCAACAGTCTTCACAATTTTTGGGAGCCTTTTCTTCCAGGTCTTTTGCTGCTGCCAGAGCTCATACAAGATTCATCAGTTCCAGTACTGATCATCCATTAACTAACTTGCTCTATAAACCATGAGACACCCAAGTGATGCATCCACCATTTCTCCACAACCCCATCCCCTCAGTACTGGCTCAGGAGCCCCCGGTGGCGCAGTGGGTTAAAGCCCTGTGCCCGCAGGACTGAAGACCGACAGGTCGCAGGTTCGAATCCGGGGAGAGGCGGATGAGCTCCCTCTATCAGCTCCAGCTGATATCACCTAGTTAGCATAGTTCTACTTAGCTTCTGCACCCATTTGTAGSCTATCGTCATCCAGGGGACATGAGAGAAGCCTCCCACAAGGATGATAAAACATCAGAAATCATCTGGGCGTCCCCTGGGCAACGTCCTTGCAGACGGCCAATTYTCTCACAACAGGATGCTCCTGACACGACAAAAAAAAAAGTACTGGCTTTTTGATGCACTGATGTTGCTCTAATATGCATCCAAGTACCTTTGCACTGAGACACAGAATGCTGAAATGGTTGAAAATGGGCTTTAACACCCCCAATGCCTTCATTTTCCTCCTCTTCCTCTTTTATCCCCGCTTCCTCCACGAGTAATGTTATGTTGAAATTTTCTCTCATTTTCCTCTGCCTAAACATGAAGACAGACAACAGTTACTCAACAGTTTAAGATAGTGCCCCCAAACACACAACTCTACTTAAAATGACTTTAAAAATCAAGAGTAACAAGAGTTTTGTTGGGCCCAGAAATGGATGAGGAATGCCAATATAATATATTAACAAAATGTACTTCCAAGTAACAGTCAACAATTCGATGCTGAATTTACAGTAATTTCTGAATTTGATCTGGAGATTATAAAAGCATGAATAACAGAAGCCTGATTGCCTCTTTCTTTGTAGAGATGCAACGGCTGGGCCTGTTTAGGTTGGTAAAAGAAGCGTTGTGCCATGGAGGGTGCCTCTACTGACATCCTTACCCTTCAAGAGTAAGGGCATCCTGTCCATGCCAGGATGAGCGTCCACTCAGGAGGGCAGCTGAACCACCACCAATAGCAATTCTGTCAAAGTAGGCAGGCTTATTATAAGTTTCAAAAGCAGTGAGTTATCTAATTGGTACTTTGGTCACATCTTCATTGCAGAAGAAAAATCTTGTTGATTAAAATGAAGTTATTCAAATATTTCATTAAAGTAAGACTGTCAGTGTGTAAAGAATATAAATTGGGAAGCATGTTCATAAGTCAAACCTGAACTCATCCTTCTGTCAGTATTGCTAATCTGGGCTTCTTTTACTTAGCAGTATATTAATCATTGGACAAATTGGCACTGCTGTATTGTTGAAAAGGTTTGGGATTTTTTTGAAAAGCACAGTTTCACTAGTAACAGGAAGCCTTAGTCAGAATGTACCTCCTGAAAAAACATAACTGTGCTTTTATTTGATATAATGGAGCAGGTTGGGACTGCTCGGGCTGGGAAAATGAGGATAGTAATAGATTAGATTGGTTTTACAGATCGTTAAAATGTTGCATTACGAGTTTACCATTCCATATACAGAAATAAATGGGCCAGATTAGTTTATAATATAAATCCTATTACAACATAATCTTACAATAGGAATTTAAATAAAATGCAAGGCTTGTTGAAATCCTGACAAATAATTTCAGTTAAAATAAATTGATTTTTGCATAGTTGCAAAGACTTCTGAATAAAAACAAAATGTAATAATAAATTCATATTCCATACCATGTAAAATTAAAAAAATGTAAACTTTCCAATATTGGCAAATAAAGTAGGGAAGAGTACTAGGCTTTGTATGCAGTCAGGACAAACAAGGAATTGTATATGTATGTGTGTGTGTGTTAATAGCCAGAAACCTAATATAATTTGTGCATGTGTGTGCGCATGCTGCTTTGACAACTCACTGTAGGGTTGAGAAGTAGAATGTAAGTTACTGAATGTATTAATTCAGGTCTACACATGTTTTGCAGCTGAAGTAGACATACCATATCTGCAGGTTCCAGGATCCTGTGGGGATACAAAAACATGGATGATAATGCTTATGGTATTAAATGGCAGGAGAAAGAACATACTTTTTCAGTGTATCCACATGCATGTTTTTGCCATTTAATAAGGGGCATGATGATCAGTGGTTGGTGGAATTTGTGGCTCCGCTGTATTAGTAGGAACAATTTTCTCCACATTTTCAGACTACGATGGTGTTCAGACTCAGAAAATTATATATTATACTACTATTCCCTTCACACATATGTACTAAAGCAGCATGGATTCTTTGCATTATTATTTAACTCAGATGGTGTTGCCTGAAGTTATGGTAGCTTTTGTTTTTAAAGAGAATGTTACTCGCTCTCTTAAGAGTATGCATATCTTTTGGAGCACCCATAATTTTATCCAAGTATTGGACTTGGATACCACTAGGGTAAATAACTGCTTACACATATATTTTCCATCGTTTGGGATGTCTTAATATAACGTCTGAACTTACATTTCACTGACGTAAGTAGCACTTGAGAGTGTTAGATAGTAGTCTTATATTCCAGACAGAGGCTATAGAAAGTACTTCATCATGAATCATGTACAGCATTTGTTGTTGTCAATTAATCCGTTTGAGAGAGTGTGCTTTTAATTACAAAGAACAAAGACTTAAAAGTCTTAAACTTACCAAATATTGCTTCTAGAAAAAAATATTTTGACTAACCTGTGTCTTGATTTAGTTCATCATAATTATAATACTGATTTTATTGCCCTTTATTTTTCACTTTTATATAAAAGTGCCAGGCAGTGAAGAAAAGATTCTGTAAAAAATGACAATGATTATATTGTATTAAATTGTTTTTATAACAATAAATATGCAAATATGCCTGCCTCTAACATCGCTCCAAGATCATGAAAACTAGGCCATGAAACTTAGCATGAATGCAAAAGGGCCCCCGAAGGTGTGTGTTTCAGAATTACCTTGTTTTTAAAATAGATTAATTCATTTTAATTTAAGAAAAAATAAAATCCAGTAGTACATTTTATCATTAGGTGGCAAAACCTATGCCATTCAAGGGGCCTCCCTTAAAAAAACAAAGAACCCCAGCAGTTTGATCCATTTCTGGTAGGGCTAGGACTTCTGTTGCACAACACAGGGCCTACTTTTGTATAAAGTAATTGTCCCTGAGCTCCATCAGTCCATGGTTTCATGTAGTGTGTGTGTATATAATATGAGTATGTGTGTGGGTGGAAAGAGAGAACAAGAATTTCTTACTGCATGATATGTGATGTAAGGAAAGGTTGAATGTGTGGTAAGGGATGGTGAGAGACAAAAACCAATAAGAGAGTGGAAGTACAGAGACCTCGGTGCTCAGTTGGTTGGATTTTACTTAAATTCTAGTCACATCACGTCATGCATAGACTGCATTCCTTTTCAGTATCTGTACTGGACAATTACATGAGCAGACCCTCCAAGATTTTACCTTTCTCCTCCTCCTCTCAGGCACAACTGTTACTCTGGAACCAACTGCAAACACACTTGCTGTTTCCATTGTGGACCTGTTTCCTACCACTGCAGTTGTTGCCTCCCCCCCCCCCCTAAACCTGTGGGTCTCCAGGTGTTTTGGCCTACAATTCCCAGAAATCCCAGCCAGTTTACCAGATGTTAGGATTTCTGGGAGTTGAAGGCCAAAAGACCTGGGGACCCACAGGTTGAGAAACACTGTTCTAAGAGCCCTAAATACTGGTTGTTGTTGCTCCCCTAGCAGTCAGTCATGCAGCTGGGGATCAATATGGGTCCAAGCTGGAGTGGCTGAACCAAAAGTGTGAGTGACTCTCCTGAGGCTATGGTGAATCACTGCATGTTTGATGAAGTGTCAGCTGGTCTGCGTGAAGGAAGTGGCAGTGGTGAAGATTAGAAGGAAAGCTGCCCTTAGCAAGGGCAGCATTGGTTTGTCAGGTGGAGAAGGTAGCAACAACAAAGATGAGGGCAGAGACCTAACTCTTTGCATGTTGCTGATACTTGTGATGATGGAGGCTATCCATTTCATATCATTTTAATTGCATTGACAGGAGCTCCCGGTGGTGCAATGGGTTAAATGCTTGTGCTGGCAGGACTGCTGAATCTGGGGAGCAGGGTGCGCTCCCGTCTGTCAGCTCCAGCTATTCATGTGGGGACATGAGAGAAGCCTCCCACAGGATGGTAAAACATCTGGGTGTCCCCTGGGCAATGTTCTTGCTGATGGACAATTCTCTCACATCAGAAGGGACTTGCAGTTTCTCAACTCACTGTGGCCCCCAACAATGGCAGATCAGGACCAGATTTGGCACACAGACCCCCCATGACCCACTTTACGTCCTGTTGTGGTTTGGGGAAGGATGGACCATGGATGATGGGATTTGCAGTACCTTAACTAACTTCCTGAGACCACTGTGACCCACACAAATGACAGATCAAGAACAAACTTGGCACACTTTACAACCTGGTGTGGTTTCGGGCAAGATGGACCATGGATGATGGGATTTGCAGTACCTTCACCCAATTCATTTCCCACAGAACACTGCGGCCCCCACAAATTACAGACCTGGACCAAACTTCGCACACAGAGCCCCCATGACCCACTCTACATCCTGGTGCAGTTTGGGGGAGGATGGACCACGGATGATGGGACTTTAAGTACCCTCACTCACTTCCCGAGACCACTGCGACATTCATCCAATGAATGATCAAGACCAAACTTGGTGCACACAGCCCCCATGACCCCACTCTACATTGTTTGAGTGCTTTCAAGGAGAGAGGGCAGTCTAGAAATAAGTTGTTTTTGTTGTTGTTGTCTTCTGAATGGATGAAAACAGACCTCACCTCCCCCAAGATAATATAACACTGTTGTCTGAGGAGAACAAAGAGAAGAATCTACAAATAAGATGAAAAGATTCCAAATTTTCTACATGTTATGTTTCAGCTTGCTTTAACTTCAGAAATGGCAATTGTTTGTATTGCTCTTACATTTCTAAAAAGTGAACCATAAAGCACAGGTTGCTATAAAATATTTTATGAAATGATTGTAGGGCAGGGGTCCCCAAACGTTTTGAGCAGAGGGCCAGTTCATGCCCCCTCAAACTGTTGGGGGAATTGGACTATAATTTGGGGGGGGGGGACAATTTCCTGTGCACACTGCACTTATCTTATTTGTAGTGTAAAAAAATGGAAACAATAAAATATTTAAAATGAACAATGTTCACTAACATAAACTTACCAGTGTGGGCCTGGTTTTGGCTGATGAAATAGTCAATTAGAATTGTCGTGTGCCTTCAAGCCATTTCAGATTTAGGGCAACCATAAGTCTAAAGTTTAGGGCAAGTGGTGGGTAAATGAGATAAGAGGAGGAGGAGGAAAAATTGAACAGACGAACTACAAACAGACACAACTCTGTGGCCCAAATGATTCACTGGAACTTATGTCACAAGTACCACCTGTCAGGAGTAAAGAACTGGTGGGATCATAAACCTGCAAAGGTAGTGGAAAATGAACACGAAAAAAACTGGGACTTTCGAATCCAGACTGACAAAGATTTGGAACACAATACACCAGATATCACAACTGTGGGAAAGAAAAAAGTTTGGATTCTTGATGTCGCCATACCAGGTGACAGTCGCATTGAGGAAAAACAACAAGAAAAACTCAGCCGTTATCAGGACCTCCAAATCCAACTGCAAAACCTCTGGCATAAACCAGTACACGGGGTCCCAGTGGTAATTGACACACTGGGTGCCGTGCCAAAAGATCTCAGCCGGCATTTGGAAACAATAAACATTGACAAAATCATGATCTGTCACCTGCAAAAGGCCACCTTACTTGGATCTGCACGCATCATTTGAAAATACATCACACAGTTCTAGACATTTGGGAAGTGTTCGACTTGTGTTTTTGTGATACAAAATACAGCATATAGATCTTGTTTGCTATGACATACTGTGTTTTTGTGTCAGTTAAATCATCATCATCATCATCATCATCATCATCATCACCACCACCATCATCATATACCCCACCACCATCTCCCCAAAGGGACTTAGGGCAGCTTGCAAATGGGACAGATGTCCACAAAACATAAGCGCAAAAACAATCCATAAAACAAAGCATATTAAAATAGGAACTTCATAAAATACAACAGCCAACTAGACAAAACAGAATAGAACAGAATACACTGGAGCTCCATCAGACCAGGTTCAACAAAAACAATGACCAAGATTTCTAAAATGGGCATGACCAAGCTATTAAAAAGGCTGAGCAAGGGAGACTGCAAATAGTGTACCATAGGGCTGGGGAAGTAGATGAAGTGCAAATCAGAGTACTATCTGGCGACTTAGGGACTGGGTATGTATAACTATGGACTAATCAATCTCAAATGCTTGCTGGAACATCTAGGTTTTCAAATCCCTATGGAAGGAGGACAATGTGGGGGCTTGCCTAATCTCCCTGGGAAGGTGTTCCAAAGTCGGGAGCCATATCCGGCCCATGAGCCTGAGTGTGGGGATCCCTGGGGTAGGGAACTTTTTTCTGACTATATTTTAATAAAATATTCCCATTACCTTGAGTGGATGACACAAGGCTTGTATCTATTTAAAAAAAACAAAAAAAACCCCTGTCACATCCAGTTTAAAATGGCATTTTCTACTAAGTATAAATAGCTGCTAAGCTTGTTGATTGAAAGGCCGCAGGTTTGAATTCTAGGAGTGGCATGAGCTTCCGCTGTCAGCCCCAGCTTCTGCCAACCTAGCAGTTTGAAATGTGAGTAGATCAATAGGTACTGCTCCAGCAGGAAGTAATGACACTCCATGCAGTCATGCTGGCCACATGATCTTGGAGGTGTCTACGGATAATGCCAGCTCTTCGGCTTAGAAATGAAGATGAGCGCCACATCCCAGAGTTGGACACGACTGGACTTAATGTCAGGGGAAAACCTTTACCTTTACTTTTTTTATATATATATAAATATGCATACATTTCATCCTTGGATCACTGTTGTTTGAAGAAATGCAAGATGATTGGTTAAGACTAGAAGTTATCAAGACTGGAGGAAAGTTTTAACTAAGCAAGTCAAGATGTGTTTGCTCAAATACTGTATATACTCGAGTATAAGCCTAATTTTCAGTCCTTTTTTTAGGCTGAAAAAGTCTCCCCCGGCTTATACTCGAGTCAAGATTATTTATTATTTTACTTTGTTGTTGTTGTTGTTGTTTTATTTTAATATTGTTGTTATTACATTTATTATTTTACTCTATTTATTATT